TGGCAGTACTTGTAAAGTCACACATTTAGCTTTCACTATTCATCTCATAATCAGTAGCGTGTGAAGTCCAAGCGCAAATGCTCCTAGAAAGTCAACAATTTCGTCACGAAACGGTGGCGCTGGAGAGGAAAGCTTTAAATTAGTTGGTTCGGGTCAAGAGCGGTCTCCCAGTCGCCCTACTCGCATACCGATATCGGCGTTATCTATTGAACTACTGGCGCTATGAACATTACTTACCGCAAGTCAAAAAAGTTTAGTGTTGAAATTTTGTATGTAGGAGCAATTCAGTGCGTTACTACAAATATGATACTCGCTTCTAGCGCTGGCGCCATATAGCGCTAATCGGTGCAACATCCGCTATGTTTCTCATGAAAACGAGATGAATTTTTATGCCCCTCGCTCTGCTAAGCTTTCAAAAAGGGGCGATTCTCTTCTCTCCAGGTTCAGCCTCAGCAGAGCGCAGGCGACAACAGTGCCCCAGCCGTGAACGAATGTCGCATTTGTGATCAGTACGTCAAATAAGCGCAGTTCAGAAGTGTTCAGCGTTTGGTGATGGAGATGGTGGCGCAAAATTGGCGTTAACCTACTGCCATATTCGGGGTCAAGGCGCATAATAACCCCCATAGGCAGAATTTCAGAAGAAAATTTTTCTCGTGATTTTGTGTAACAGTTCAATAGTCCCAGAAAGTCAAACGATCATGTCTGTTAAGAGTGTACGGCGATGCTCGAAACCTTCGGAACCATGCTATTTTTCCGATCCAACTCGCAGAGGCATTTTTGGCAACTTCAGAGTCTCAAATCCTAGCGCTTTTGCATTTTCGCAAAGCGAGATACTGACTAAACACGTTTCCGATCTTATTTAACTAAACTCTGGAACAGTTCACTGCCATTTCAAGATAAGATTTAGTGAAGTCTCTGTCTGAACACAATCTCTACACAACCTCTCACAGATTTATTCTCATAGTGATCGTATTCAAAACACATATCTCTGGCGTATATACATTTCTCTGTTGGGATCGAAAGTGAAGTGAATCGTTGATTCCGGTACATTTCCAGCTGAAATTCAGTGAAGGTTACTCTTCAGCATTGCAACTTTTACCAGTTTGTTCATTTACTAAAAATGTGGGCTCGTGAATGTCAAGATTTTTGAGTGAAACATTTCATCCGGACCATTCTCTCCAGGATTCCAGGATTTCTTTCCTAGGTACCAGTGGCGAAAGTCTTGGACTTGGAATGCACATCTCAGCTCAAAACCGTAAGTCAGCGAGAGAGCACCAGAAGTGAGAGGGCGCGGGCAAATAGATTCTAGCTACGATTAGGCGTGTAGATGGCTTCGCAGCAGCGTGGGTGGACTATAAGTACCACTACCCTCCAGCCTCGTTTCTAAGCAGCTTTGAGCGGATTATGGCATGCTCCTGCAGCTGTGGACACATTCACCCCACACATGGCAAGAAACATGACCCTGGAGGTGAGTGTACAGTTTGTCATTAGGACAGCGCATTATGTTGTAAAACACCATCAATTATCCAGGTGTGGTTCTGCGCGACTGTGGTTTCAGATTCGACTCAATTTAATCTCTATGATGAAGTCGGCCTACAAGCGTCCGTGTCCAAAAAGGGTAAATGCTCACCAAGAATGGACTTGATCCATGGCAGCATTCTGGGAACTGAGACATATCTGTCCTCTGCTTCTTCTGAAAAGAATCAAGTTCAACAAGAAAAGAACATGAGAAGGAAAAGTAGTCAGGCTTTCATAGAATTGCGATAGCGTGCATTTGTATCATTACCCTTTATCTATCACTACTGCTGCAGAGGCGGCCACGGAGAGAGAGATAACAAGAGGGGAAAGGGGTGGGAAAGGTGAAATCATTCTCACTAGACAGGGCTCTACGGAACGGCTCACTGGCTCCGCGCAGGCGTTTCGTGCTGGCTGTGGCTGCACTGGTAGCACAGCAATGTGGACGCGAAGGCTAGCACCTTACTACGGCGAGGCAAAAGCATTTGTCCAATGAAACTGTCACTATATAGTAAACAACACTAGGACATAGACAGGTGAGAAGGATCGGATGATATGGGGCTACACTCTGCGGCACAAGAGACAGCTCAGAGACGAGGTTCAACTATACAATTTTTTTCAAGAAAACATCTGATCTGTTGTAAAAGTTTCACTTCTATGTTCTTCAACCAGATAACATGAGGTTCCTCCACTCAGAACCCCCAAGACTGTGGCTCTGCTGTCCCCTTCATCCACGCGGTAAAGTCCAGCTCCACTGTCTCCCTGAAATGAACAGACATCAATGATATTAATCCGGATATATCCTCTCACGTGAAAGCAGAACAATTGTATTCCTATGATTGAATGGAAGATTCTTGCCGAAAACTACGCTCGAAGCAGCGAGAACGTCTGTTGCGGAATAGACCGAGTGCATTATTCTCTTAAGGCACAGCTTCGCGACCGCAAATTGCGGGAAACGGAACTCAAATAGGCACAAAAAAGTGCTAAGTATCTGATTAGCGGAGAAAAGCAGCAGAAAAAGCAGTCCGAAATGTTATAGAGAAAGATAACATAGTGGCTACTAGCTAGTAGCTAGCAGCCGGTGAGGGTCGGCATGGGCCTAAGGGGTGTCCATGGGCCTAATTAGTCAGCTTCTAGCGGAGTTCTTGCCGTTTTTCACATTTTGAAAGTAGCGCAGCCTCAAAAATCGCCTTCCGGATCGTCCGACACATTTGAGAGGTCATAGCCTTATTTTATCGCGGAAAGTGCCTCTAATGCCACCGAGTGAAGGTCTGTTCATCGAGTCCTGAAAGCGTGTATAGGAAGTCCCTAGGAGGTTGTCAGCGAGGAGAGGTTCATCAATGGAAATGAATTATTCGAGGCAAATGGGATCGAATACAAGTGAAAACCCTTGCAGGGACCCTGTGAATTTGACTCCACGAAAAATGAAGATAGCTATCCAGTTAAACGGCAGATAAATGGCAAGGGTGGATGTTTTTTTCTTTCATTGCTCTTCTTCCAAAAACGTTTCTATAATACTGGTCGGATCGAAGTGCGATATAATGGCTTGTTCCAATTTTGCAGCTACTAAAGAGAAACAAACTGACCCGACAGACAGCACGAGTACCCCCGCGCATAACGTACATTTCGTTTTCGTAGCTGCTTTGATTCCGTGCGTAAGTGAGTTTGTGCAGCATGACGTCACCGTTGTGTTCCGCTAAAACAAGGCTATTTCAATGGAGAACGTCTTGGATAGAAGGCCAACCTCAACAGTGGTTTATGCCCGAGCTACGCGATCAAATACCACTTTCTCGTATCACCTGTATCACCTGTGCTCCCGTTGATCATCGAGTTCCTCGAGCGGGCGCCAGTAACGTCTCCATTCGTCCCTGCAACGTGCAAGAGTTGCCCAATGAACTCTCTCAGCTCGAGGGACACGATGAACTTCATACCGTTCGTTCAGAGCTTTCACGAAGAAGTCTGACCATCGCATAGGCGGTCGTCCAGGCGTTCGCTTGACATCCCGTGGAATCCAGTCGGTGACTGCTCTGGTCCAGCGGTCGTCCTCGAAACGCATTGACGTGTCCAGCCCACCTGATCTTCGAAGCCTTGGCAAATGCGGCGGCGTCTCTGATCTTCGATCGTTGGCGGAGTGCGGAGCTCCGGATTCCCTCTCTCACTTGCGTGTAGCGGGAAACTCCGAGCATCGCCCTTTCGATGGCGCGTTGAATAACGCCGACGCTCATCCTGCTTTCGTAGAGTCCAAGTCTCTGAGGCGTACGTCAAGGCAGGAAGGACCGCGGAATCGAAGAGGTGGGCACGGAGCTTGGTGTTCTTCGTCTTCTTCGCTACTCCCTCGATGTTCTTGAAGGCTCCCCAAGCCGCTCGCTTCCTCCTGCTCAGCTCTGGAGCTAGGTCATTCATCATATTGATTTCACGACCTAGGTACACATAGCTAGAGCATTCAGAGATGGTCGTTCCGTTGAGCGTGAATGGGGCATCAGATACCAATCCGTTTCTCATGAACATCGTCTTCGTTAGGTTCAGCCGTAGACCGATTCTTCCACACGCGCAGTCGAATTCAGCCAGCATTCGTTCCGCTTGCTCGATGTTTGGCGTTATCAAAACGATGTCGTCAGCAAGCGAGCAGAATGGGTGTAGTTGCGACCGTCGATTCTTCACTCCCATGTCTCCCATTCGCAGTTGCGAGTTATGTCTCGAGAGTGCCCGCTGAGAGCTTGGGCGAGCATGGTATCGCCCTGTCGCTACCCCTCTCTTCAGTTTTCATCAATGATGATCTCCTTGGTAGAAATGGTGAAATCTTGGTCGTGAAGTTGCTGTAGAGCTCTCGAAGAATCCTGATGTACTGAGTAGGAATACCCTGGTTGCCCAGGGCTTCGATAACCGCTTCTGTCTCAACGGAGTCGAAGGCCTTCTTCAAATCGATGAACGTGAGACATAGCGGCATCTTGTACTCTCGCGATACTTCGATGAGCTTCGTTACCGTGTGGATGTGATCGATCGTGCTGAATCCTCTTCGAAACCCTGCTTGCTCGCATGGCTGTCCTTCGTCTAGTGTTCTGCCAATCCTATTCAGGATGACTCGTGTGAAGAGTTTGTAGACTACAGACAGCAGGCAGATTGGGCGATAATTGCCAATGTCGTACAGGTCTCCCTTCTTGTACAGCAACACAGTCTTGCTGGTTTTCCACGAGGTGGGTACCTTGCATTCCGACAGGTAGCGCGTGAAGAGTCGAGCCAGAGTTTTGACGAGAACTGGCGGAAGATTCTTCAGATGTTCGGGTCTGATCCTGTCGCCGGGTGGGGGACCCGGGTGCCGTACGATTCTTCACCGACGAGATGGCGTGTCGGACTTCGGAAGGGAGAACTGCAGGAACGACATATCCATCCTGCTCCAAGCGGTATGGTTGCAGGTGGACGTGGCTGTCGAAGAGATCCGAGTAGAAGTCGTGGATGACCTTCTCCATTGCCCTTCTGGATGCGGTGATTGTTCCATCCGGACGCCGGAGGGCGGTCATCTTGGTCTTACAGTTGGCGAAGTCGCGGCGGGCGGCGTTGCGTATGCTCTTCCCAGCCTCTGCGGCTTCCACCAATACTGCTGCTCTTCTCTCCTTGAGGTCTTCTTTTATCGCTCCTCTGCATAGCTTCGCAAGCTCAGACGTCAGCTGGTAATTGCCTGCGGCTCGTGCGGCTCCACGTTGGCGAATCAGCTCGAGAGTTTCCAGAGATAGACGCTTCTTGGTAATCTTGGAACCCTCTGACTTCTTGGCGCAGTCGTGAAGATGTGCAACAAGCCGTTCGTATTCCTCGTCGATGTTGTCGTCGATGACAGAATCCTCCCGAGCAGCGAGAGAAGTGAAGTGATCCCAGTTGATGAAGGTCTTTGGGCTTCGCTTCTTGAACTTTGCGGCTCTCTCTCCTCGCATCGAAAAGCGGAATCTTGCGCGAAGGAGGCGATGGTCGGATCCCGTGTAGAACTTAGGGACAACAGCGACATCGATTAGGCAAAACCTTCGATTGCAGATGATGTGGTCGATCTCGTTATGGAATTGTCCACCAGGAGACTCCCATGTCCAGCGTAGAGAGTAGGGCTTCTGGAACTGCGAGTTACCATGGATGGTGTGGGTCGACATGATAAACTCAGACAGCCTTTCACCCTGCTCATTCCACTCCGTTCCGTGAGTTCCGATGTGAAGTTCTTCAGCCGTTCTTCTTGGTCCGATCTTAGCGTTGAAATCACCGACGATGACCTTGAAGAAGGTATGATCTTCCTTGTAGAACTTCTCCAATTCCATATAGAACGCTTCGAGCTCATCCTCGTCGTAGCTTGATGTTGGTGCGTAGGCGACGAAGATTGTCAAAGCTGGAGTTGAACCACATCTTCTCAATCGCAAACGTCCGATTCGGGTCGTCAGACTTTCGTACGAATCGATGTTCATGGCCAAGTGCGTGTTGACGAGGACGCCCACACCGCCAACGCCTCTGCTGTCGCATGTTCCGAGGAACAGTTCTTCTCCAGTCTCGTACACGGCGTGTAGCGGGCGATGCCTCCTCGTCTCGGTCAGTCCGATGACGTCGTACTTGATCTTCCTGGCTTGCAACATCAGATCTTCGATGTGAGCTTCCGATGCAAGCGTCCGTGCGTTGAAAGTACAGATCGTCATCCTAGTCCTGGGCGACTCAAATCTCCGTTGGCCCTGTGATTTTTGCAGCCTCGTCCGAGCGGTCCCAGCCGACGTCGCCCTGTCGGTGGTTCCCTCAGCTTCAGGAATGGAATGATGCGCCCATAGGTTTATTGTTTCGGGCGAGAAGAAGAACTTTACCCTATACAAATAAATTAATATTGATTGAATACCCTTTACGATGAAAAATTTGCCAGGGCATTCGCGCAAATAAGTCAACTAGAAAAAGTAAGAGAAAAAGAAAAGATTTGAGATGTTGGTGACCTTTCCCTCCTCACCGCTTTCTTCTTCTAAACTGAAGGTGTGAGTCCACGCGAACCACTCTAGGCGACGAACGAGGGCGGTATTTTGATTTTACTTTAGCTGCCACACTAGTTCCTGTTCACAAGTCTCGCTCTGATAAAAATAGTGAACTCTTCTGAATCTAGAGCGTGCTCGTCTAGCCACCATTAAGACTGCCAACTCTTGTAACCTCACGAAGCACCCTAGATGGGTCGACACGTCGATGGGAAGTAGCAAAAGTTTGAATGCCCCTCTTGCGTCGCCAAAGTGCCCCGTCGACTTCTGATCAGTCAATATTCCTGAGCAACATAGTCCTAGACTTTCTGCGGTGGTACTGAATACTTATTATTGTTTATCCGCCATTACCGTAATAAAGCCGTTCGCCTGCCACATAAGTACTACCTTACAGGGTACTATACTTTCACAGATCCACCTACTAGCTTTCTATAGCTCATGGTCACCCCCTCCGTTCCCCTTCCTCCCCCAGGCTCGAATGCAAAATTTTCGGAGAAAAACCAAGAAGATTGTCGGGAAGTGCTGGAAAAACTCAGTACTTATGGAAAATCTAAGAAAAAGGGTGTGCGTATCGAGCCACCTTTTGGGGAGGCGGACCCGACCAGAATCCCCAAGTAACGATGTGCCCTGGCGTGAGCTTGACTCGGCGTATGATCCACGTACCATGCGTATGTACAGCTTCCCGCAGTAGTCGCTGCATGTTCTAATCTGGAATAAATTCGATAGGAAAAAAAATGATGTTTGTGCCCGTGGTTCATATCGCGATGAATTCTTTGAGAACATGGAATCGGAGAGCCCACTTGAGCCAAATCAACCAGGTCCCTCCTCCAGCATTTTTGGCAAGGAAGCGGTTGACAACTCAAAATGACATTTTATCGCTCAAACTCGTAAGTAGAAGGCTCTGAAATGAAGGGCGGGTGCTTAGTATGTGTGC